CCTCTCTGGGATGGTGGAGCGTCTCTGGTCCTTCCATTATAACCTCTAAGTCTAAGAGAAGGTGGAGACATGGTACAAGAAAACAGGTCTTAGTAGGAAAATTTAACCCGGTGAAAATTGATAATAAAAAAATATGTAGAGGTGTTAAATTTACCTGAGGATTTATCTGAGGCAACTACTGAGGCTTCCCTATTAGTTGTTTGAGGAGATTGGGCTCTATTGTCTCTTGGCGCAGTGTTTTTGTCGTGTACTTCCAAGTTTTGGATGTTAGCGCTAAGGGTGCTGTTGACGGCGGACACTGTTACACAACCAATTTTTGAGCTTTTTCAGAAATTTTTTGTTCGAGAGATAAGTTCAGAAGCTAAGGAACACGCTCAACTTTTCAGAATGAAATATTTCAAGGTACTTCTGGTCGAAAACTTGAGAGGTCGGTGTTTGCTACTGAAACTGGGTGAAGGAGTTGAGTGAGGATGGAAAGGAAGGTGGCGCTGGATACGTCTTATAAAGGCGATGAGTTCTGTATCTTGTTTGTCGATGTAGCTCAAATAATGAAGGAGCTACACTCTCTTAAAGATCAGGAAAGATCACTTTCGACGATTTTAGTAGGAGGGGTGATGTACTAGGCGGGAGTGGTAGTACGGAAGATCTGTATGTATGTAGATCCTTGCAGATCCTGGCAAATCCGGGGTGTATTGAGTTGTAACTGTGTAATACGGGCCTGCAGAACCTTATGTACACGTGAGATAACTCTATTTTTAGACTTCGACCAGTGTATAGGCTTCGACCAGGTACTAATCCCTCGAGATGATGGGTAAATGAGACTAGATCTGCTCACGCCGTAGGAATGGTAGACTTTCAAGGCTCAGGAAAAAAACCTAGTAGTGTAAACAGGGTACGGCGGATCGAATGGTCGACTCAGATTGTTTGTATCTGTTATGGTTCTCTCTCCGTGATAGTGTAAAGTGACTTAGACTGAAAAAATAAGACTTTTTGAAGGGACACGGACGTATTTTTTAAGGGTTTTCAATTTTTTCTGTGTGGATGAATCAAATGGAAATATAATGAAATATTTTTGTGATTTTTTGTGGCACGAGATGAGTGAAACAGATAGCGCAAGAATTTTATTTTTGTGTTTTTTTTTTTTTTTTTGGTGTTTTTATTTCTGATACTAAGGAAATGAGATGAGATGAGATAAAAACAAGCTTAATTTATTCTAAATCCGTGAGATCTATGATTATAGAGTTGGGTTGAGGCGGAGAACAAGCAGTGAAAGGTGGAAGAGTGTAGTAGCGGACAGTTCTAGACAAGATGTTAGTAGGAAGAGTTCTATATTTAGGGGTTTCTTCTAACGCTGTAAAGAAGTTATTCCTGTTTGTTTCTACTGTTTTTTCTATGATAGACTCGTCTTCTTCTACAAGATTTATGAGGATGTATTCAGGGGAATAGGTAGAATGAAGGGTACAATGGTAGCGCTTAGTTTCTATGTAGTTCCAGAATCTATCTTCTGCTTCTGTAACTTTCACTTTTTCTACTCTTTCAATAACTGTAATGTTATCCGGGTGGTTGTGGTAATATCTACTAGCTTCTTCTGCAATTGTACTATCTATTTGTCTAATAAATGGCAAAACTTCCGGCATTTGTTCTTCAGAAGGCCATTGTTAGTAGTAAATGTTTTGGGGACAAAAGGTAAAAAGAAGCACGGAGATATGTTAGTCACGGATTCCAATTAGGCCAGACCCCCAATTGTCAGCCTCTGGGTACTAGCTGAGTATTTAATAGTAAAAAGGTTGTTACTATGAGTTGACTGAAGTTTTTGAGCGTGGAGAGTGTTAGGTAGTGGGTGATTAATACCAGTCCTGTAAAGAGGAGGTTTCACTCTATCAGTATGGTCTTTACTGAGAGGCTTGCTATCAACAGCGCATCCGGATCAATACAAGGTATTAATAGGCATCCAGGGTACTAAGACTCACCTGGGATTGATTTGGTTATTCCCCAAAGGGAATGGGCTAACAATACTTATTAAGCTTTAACAAAATTAGTTGAAGATTAACAGGTATTGTTGATGGGAATATTCAGCAAGGCTATGAATACTGTGGATAAGTTGAGTAAGAGTACTGAAGCTTAAGAACAATAAATGTAGACAAGATTTATGTTGGTTACGGGTACTGTATCAATATAAATGTTAACTGGTTTAACTGGTGTCTGAATATTCTGGGGATTAATCAGTGGAAGTGGCACGGATTATAAGTTCCAGAATACTGAAGGGGGAAAGAATGAGCGCTCAGAATCAAGGGAGCTTTGGCCAGGAGAATGAGCACATCAATTGAGTGACTGATCATTATTTGTCATGATCTGTAAGTGACATCATAATTGTGTACTAGTTGATCAATGTACTAGTTGCTCTTGATGTGTACTTAACAGATCCTCTAATAATGTAGTCATAATTGTGATCTGTGCATGTATTGAATGTATTAATTCTATTGACACTTAATACTTACTATTTAATACATGTACATATTTATTTGTAATAATATTTGACCGTGAAAATACTGTAGCAGAGGGATAACTTGTGGTACAGGTATTTCACGGACAAGGGAGTGAAAGGTAAGTGATAATTACTTATGTAGAACACAGGTATGTATTTAAATAGATAAGTAATTAACAGATAAGATAAATGTAAGATAAATAGGATAAGATAAGTTAATGATAATAATAAGATAACAAGAGGTAAAGGTAATCAACATTATGGATAAGTACTTATGTACATAAGTACAGGTGTTGCAGTTACTTGGTACATGAAAGGTACTGTGACATGTACTCTGTGGCTGACACCATCCAATTCCACACAAAAAAACAATCTAAAGGAGACGAAAAGGACGTCAATTATACCGGTTTCAAATACCCTAACGAGTGGACGCAATCCTTTGTGAAGTGGACCGCCAACCACAGAAACTTCCACGTTACTTTCAGGGACATGTACAACTACCCTGAATTTGCCAATTGGATCCTAGAACACAAATCCAACGTCGACCAAATAATCTCCGAAGATGGTTTCCTTGTCGGCTTCCGCTACGACTTGATTGTCCGGCAAAACGCCTTCTCCTACCAAGTAGAAACTGATCAAGGGATGTCAGCCATGGATATATCAATCTTCAGGAAAGAAGTAAAGAGAGAAGCATGGAAGGTCACCAGGAACCTAGAAGAATTGGACTACTCTGATAACCCTTATGCGTTAGGAGGGCCTAAATTCAATTTCGACCCACAGACCGGCAAGCCAAGAATCCCCAAAGATAAAAACTTAGAAGACATGACCCAGGGAATGGATAATCAATACCCCTCTAAAGGTAGAGGCGGATTTAGACAAGGACAGGGCTCCGACAGATTCCAACAAGACCGTCAAAACTCAGATTATGGTGCATACCGTGATGAATCTTACGGCTACGAGTACGGTGGTGGCATGAAAAGACAAAGAGAAGTCCATCCTAGCGACAATACCCCACACGGGAGATTCGAATCCTCGTCGACCCGCGGAGGCTACTCCAAAGAAAGGGCCAATTTTGGGAGAGAGCGGTCATTCAAAGGAGCCGGCAGGATGGACACGCCAAAAGGCAAAGAAAAAGACCACTCGTAGGCATATTTCCTGATTGAGTTGCAATTCAAGAAAATTCCAAAAAAAAAAAAAAGAAATACCAATTTATAAATATGGAGAAGTGGATCAAATATTTTCCCTGAAACTTGGCTTGTTTTACCTCTTCTTTCGTGTTTTCTCATTTTCGATTTTCGAATTGTTTTTCTCCTCGCTGCATTCTCCTCGCCACATCTTGGCCTCTTGCAATGTGAACTTGTTAAGTAGAAATTTCATCCACAATGCTTCAAAAGTTATTGAACTAAAAGAGGCACCATGGCCAACAGAGGTGACCTGTGAGATGAATATTGAAGCATGGGAAGAGGCATTAATCGAGCGTGGTTTGTTACCGGAGTACCGGGATGTAATAGAAGGATTTCGGATTGGCTTTGATCAAGGAATTCCTCAGCACAGAGTCAGTAAACTTACCCATTACACACCAGATAACCATAGCTCCTCGGAAAAAGTCAAAAGCAAGGTGGAAGACTCGATTAACAAAGAATTAGAGGCAAAAAGGATGTTTGGGCCTTTTAGTCTGGAGAAAGTTATTGAGAAGTTTGGCTTCTGCAGATCAAACCCGCTGGGTGCCATCGTAAACGGAGATGGAGCGATACGATCAATAAACGATCTCTCTTTTCCTAGGAACGACCCAGAAATAAACTCAGTAAACTCCTTTGTAGACAAGTCAGAATTCAAGACGACGTGGGATGACTTTCAAATTGTCTCAGAATTCTTTGCAAAAGACAATCGGAAAATGGAACTGGCTCTTTTCAATTGGGAGAAGGCATACAGGCAAATTCCCACACGGAAAGAACAATGGCGTTATCTTTTGGTAAAAGATTTCAATGGAAATTTCTTAGTGGACACGAGAATTACCTTTGGAGGAGTAGCGGGATGCGGCTCTTTTGGGAGGCCTGCGGATGCCTGGAAACTCATCATGAAATCACATTTCAAGCTATTGAACAATTTTAGATGGGTCGATGATAATCTCTTTGTCAGGCTACAAGGAGAAGATATATCAATGGAAGATGTCGTCCATAAATCACACCACTTAGGAGTCTTAACAAACAAAACAAAATATTCTCCTTTTCAAAACAAACAGAAATTTATCGGGTTTGTATGGAATGGGGTTGAGAAGACAGTGAGGCTTCCAGACGGGAAGGTAGAAAATTGCTTGAATCAAATAAAAACGTTTCTATAAAATAAGGCGATGTTTGATTACCACGACGCAGAGATTCTGGTCGGACAACTCAACCACGTTGCATACATCTTACCTCACTTGAGGTGCCATTTATGTTCCCTATACCGGTGGCTGATGTCCTGGAAATTTCGCAAAGCACTCAGGCCAACACCATCAGACGTATTAGAAGACCTAACAATCTGGACAGAAACTCTCAATAATTTTGAACACACAAGAATAATAAATTATGGCCCACCAGTTGATGTAGGGTGGGTAGGTGATGCCTTGACTTTGTTCGGTATAGGAATACTAATCGGAAAACACTGGGCACATTTTAAATTGCACGGCCCAAAATCGAGCGGGCTACGTATCTCCTACCTAGAGACGGTTGCTATTAGGCTAGGTTTACTCATGTTGCTTAAACTAAGAGACCAACAGGGGAAGACACTAGTTGTCTGGACAGACAATACCACAACAGAAAATGGAATCAATAACAAGAAGTCCAGGGATCGCGAGGTGTTGAAATACAAATCCATTGTGTCAACCTGTGTCATCATACATCATAAAAATCATATGTCATGAATAGAATCAATTCATGTACACAATCAAGTTGATGGCACTAACACATAGGAATCATATCATATAAATCAACATCCTGGACAAGACTGGATAGCCTAGTGGTAAAGGCATCACTCCTAGTAAAGTGACTTAGCTAATGCTGAGGTCCCAGGTTTGAATCCTGGTCTGGTCATTCTTTTCCCTAAAATATATAGCTGATGCTTATTCTCACACAAGGCAAATACAGAATGGATGAAAATCCAAACTATCCTGGTCTCAAAAGGGATAGAATTGTTGGCTAGGCGAGTTACGTCTAAAGACAACAAGGCCGACGCCTTGTCGCATGGCATTAGATCAGGCCAGTCGGTAAAATACCAAATTGTCATAGAAATTCCTGTAGACTTACAAATAATCCTCTCGCAAGTCGTTTTTATAATTTGACATAAGTAATACATTCCGTGTGTTGTTAGCTTTTTTTACGGGCTCGTTTTGTACTGTACTCCCCTCACAACGGTTATTCTTTTTCTACTCATCTTATCCTTTCGATTTCACTTATTCAGATAGTCATTATTATAATGAAAGATTTTACCTCCACCGGTTTCTCTTTGAAATCACCATCAAAGATAGACAGACATATCCTAAACGGTTGGAGGGGAAGTACCCTCCGTAGCTACAACTCAGCTGTTAGAAAATTCCTCAAATTTGCAAAAGAAAAATTGGAAAGACGCTTCGAACTGCCAGCATTACAGGAAGAGATTATCGGTTTCTGCTACTGGGCCGGGCGGAACAAAGAAGATACCAACCCAAACGAGGAGTCCGGGGCAACTCTTACGAAATACCTCCACGGCATCAAAGCCTGGCATACCTACCATGGGGTGCAGTACCCCCACCAATCTGATGGTAAGGTAGCTCTCATGATAAAAGCATAACTACGATGTGGTCATTATTCCTGTGTATGAAGGAAGAAAATTAAAAATTTTATTATTTATCAATGAAGGACTCAAGATATGGACAAATGGACGTCAGAAATGGAATCTACGGCCAATTTAACCCCTAGTCACTCACTGGAACCACCTTCATATCTCTACTGGATCAGAAGTTACGCAGAATCAAGGATGTCACAAGGAGAATCACAGGATCAGAGGCACTCAGCTGGAGGGTATATTGCATGGGTGTATATTACATATTTCATATTGAATTCCTTTTATCCATATTGAATTCCTTTTATTCATATTGAATTCCTTTTATACTTACAGAACCACAAGTTGGCCACCAGTTGTACCAGTTAAATTCCCATTTATTCAGCCACAGAACACATGAATTCCTTTCTTACAGCTTACATATAAAAGGAATGCGTTGTAGATAGTCTAGCCAAAATCCCTCAGGATTTTCAAGGATAGGGCAGCTAAAATGCCTCATACAGGGGGTCCCTTGGGGCTAAAATCCCTCGTAAATTACTATATAAGGAGGCCTCTGCCTGCCAGTTGTTTCCCTCCTCATCCCACTCAGTACACATTTTTTTGGTGGGACACCTGTCACAGATATTTATTACACAAGAAGTTCACAAGTAGTACAGTTCACAGTTGAAATATATACACAGTTCAGTTCACAAACATTACACAGAAGAGCCAGTACTTTGTTCCAGTCCTGGTTGAAGCAAAGTGCTCCCAGCATTATTGGGTTCAAGAACCAACTCTATTACATGACACATATACAGTATCAAGGCATCAAGACGAGAAACAACATCACCAACTCAATCAATTCTTTGGACAACAAGATCAACCTTCAACAATTATACAACCATCTTTGAACATAATCCATTATCACCAACCAAACTGCCAAGCTTACCTTGGTGGTCTTGTTTTCTGATAATATAGAAAGGCAGAGTTTGCAGCTCATTTCATCCCTTTCTCCATTCAGCAAAAAGGATCTTATAATCACTTTTTGAGTCTTACAAGGGAGTCCCCAACGTGATAAGGATTACGGTATAATTGAAGAAGGATCAAATTCTAGAAGAACAGCAAGAAGAAGAATCAACACGGATAGTCGACACTCTTGAAGGATTTTGAGAAGAACAAATTTATCAACCACAACTTTCATCAAGTAAAGAAGAAACATCAAGTTAACCTGAAGATCGAATAGTCAAGTGATAGAACCTATTAACGAACAAAAACTACTAAACCTCTGAAAGAAGAAGAAGAAGATTTGTGACTCTAGTTCTGAAAGACGTATCTCGAAGGAAGCAGCCAGTTATATCCCAGAAGAAGGAAGACCACCGAAGGATTTGGATAACTGGATCCTGTTTGAAGCGAACGTCGGAGCCCACTCGAAGGAAGCAGACGATTATATCCCAGAAGAAGGAAGACCACCGAAGAATCTGGATAATCGTATCCTGTTAGAAGAACACTCCCAGCTACTAGTATTGTTACTGAGAAAACCCCCAACTTGCCCTGGTAAAGAGACCAGAGACCATTTTTGAATTGAAAATCAGAGTTTTAGTAGGATTAGTATCCAAACATAGTATTACATCACAACAACTAGGAAGTCAACAGGAACAACATGAGTTTACCATATACTGTGCCAGATTTGGAAGATGGATTTGCTCCAACAACACCTTTGGGAAATAGACCATTTGCGTCGGGATCGAATTCGAACTGGAATACAGGATTTACGGCACCGCCACCACCAATGAAGAAGGATAAAGGAAAGATGCCAGCCAATCAATACAGAGAACCACAGGTTGAAGAAGAGATGTCAGACTCAGAGGATCCTACACCACAGAGACAAGCCAAGCAAACGGAACCTCCGGTGACTGGGTATGGACTACATAATGCAAGAGGATCGGATGGTGAACCGACGGAGAGAAGATATGGACCAAGGATCATCAAGGAACCGGGACTTGTTTACGACGGGACCAATTTCACACGATTTCTAGCAAGATACGAACGAGCGGCTTTGGCGTTTCAGGCATCGGACTACGAAAAGGCGGTACAGATTGGACGATTTGTACATAAGGAGGAATTGAAGTTGGAACTTGAGGCGATGGAAGGTTACGACAGTTTCAACTGGAAAGAATTAAGGAAGGCAATGAAGGAGAGTTGGGGGGAATTGGACAACACTATTCTGTATACTACGGCGGATTTGGTCAAAATTGTGGAAGAATACTCCAGAAAGGGAGGACTGAAGGACTACAAAGAGTACAAGGCTTACTTGGGAAAATTCACCACTATCTTGAAATATCTCGTGGATAATGAACATTTGAACAAGA